GTGAATTGGAGCTATAGAAATAAACTGAATAGAATTGGTTGGTTACCATGGAGACAGATGAGCCAAACTGACTCTTTTTCTCTGGTTCTGTTTTTAATGCCAGATAAGAAGAACGTGCCCAGCATGGTGCTGAGGAAGGTAGGCCTTCATCATCATCATCATCATCATCATCATCATACTCGTTGCTGTGTGACATCACTGCGTTCTGTCCACTCAGGTCACAGGGGATCAGTGGATTCTCCGGAGTTCCACCATTAAAAAGGAGGAAGACGAAGAGGAGGAGGAGGAGGAGGAAGAGGAGAAGGTGAGGCTGATGAAGGGGTGTGGGGGGGTCAGTTGTCCTGCAGATTGTCTGTTAACCAATGAAATGTTCCCTGATCCCCGTGTGACCCGCTGCTGGCCTGTGATTGGCTGTTCAGAGGAAGTTCAGGAGAGCAAACCCTTCAGGATTCGTGCAGAAGAGGGTGAGCGCCATCTGGTACCCCCATGATGTTTCTCGGCTGGTCTGGGTTCTAACGGGGCGTTTCTGCCGCAGCGTCGCGTGGCCTGCAGGGAATGCGTGGCGTGTCTCAGGAAGGACTGCGGGAGCTGCTCCTTCTGCCGAGACATGAGGAAGTTCGGCGGGCCGAGCCGCCTGAAGCAGAAGTGTGTGATGAGGCGCTGCCTGGTGCTGGTGAGTTCTGTGGGTCAGAACCAGAACCCGGGGCGTCCAGAACCGCATCAGGAACATCTGGATCTCCTGTCTGCTTCCTTCCTCTCAGCTCAGAGAGAAAAATAAATCCCAGGAGCAGAACCGCCTCCTGGCTGCGAAGAACACGGGACCATCGGGCCACGCCCAGGCCACAGAGCAGAGCGGGTCCACAGAACCAGGGTCCAAGCACTGGACAGGATGGAGTAGATGGAGGCAGGAGAAGATCGCCGCAGGAGAGGAGGTCTGGTTCTACCGCGCAGTCCGACAGAACCGAGCAGCCGATGGCGGCTCCTCCTCGGGCTGAACTTCTCCACTCGCTGCTTTTCAGGTGATGCCCAGGAGTCTGAGGGGGAGGTGGGCGTCGCTGTGGGGGAAACAGCGTCTGAGGATGATGAGCGACAGAGTTCTGCTGCTGAACCCAGAGCAGCAGAAGAAGGCGGGTTCAGGAGACGCTGAGGTCCGTTTGTTCTGTTCGGTTCTCTGAATGAACGTGGAGCGTCGCTCAAAGCGTCTCATGTTTGTGTTCAGGAGATGAGGAAGAGGAGGTGGGTGAAGAAGAGGAGGAGGTGGGGGGGAACCAGGGCCGCCGCAGAGTCACAGATCAGAAAGGACTGGGACGGCCTGCTGATGAAGGAGGAGGAAGAGGAAGAGGCCCCGCCCTCTCAGGTCAGTTCTGAGGATCCAGATCTTCTGCTTTTGGACCCGCCTCTCTGCGGACTCAGGACTTCCTGTCTCTGTGCGTCTGTGTCCCAGTTTCCCGTCAGCGGTGGACCGCCAGGACCGGAAGGAACCTCTGGACCTCAGACCGCGACACATCTGCAGGTAGAATCCTTCTGAGAACGGCGGCGAGCGTTTCTGTTCTCCTCTCTGACGGGTTCTCTCGCTCGCAGTGGAACCTGACTCTGGACAGCGCCCACCTGTCCTCCAACCTGGTCTCTGACTCCGCCCTCAGCTGCCTGCTGCCTCAGGTAAGCTCCACCGCTCACCTCTCAACCTTAGTTAGCCTCTGACTGACCTGCGTTTCCATGGTAACACTTTTTCAAGTCTCACAACTGGATATAAGTTCAGACCATTTACTGTTTTTTTACCATTTCCATGGCGACGAGCTATCGACTCAGAACTGTGTTTCCGTGGTGACCTTTTTTTCTCTACTGACTGACCTCCAGGAGGGATCCGTCCTCCATGTTTCCACGGGGCTCACCTTCATCCCGCCCCCTCCTCCCCTTCCTGCTCCTCACGCCGTGGTCGCCGTCCAATCACCGCAGCTGAAAGAGGAGGAGGAGCCAGTGGAGATTGAGGAGTATGGGAGGGGTGGAGAGCAGGAGGAGGCGGAGCAGGAGGAGGCGGAGCCAGAGCAGGAGGAGGCAGAGCAGGAGGAGGCGGAGCCAGAGCAGGAGGAGGCGGAGCAGGAGGTACGGATCGGGGTGTCAGATGCTGGGAAATACTATGAAGTGGAGGTGGAGCTACCGGAACCTCAGTCCCACCAGAACACTCTGAGCGCAGCGACGCCGGCGCTCTCTGACCTCCATGACATTTCCAGCTGTTGTGACCTCACCTACGGACGCCCAGAGTGCATCTCATTGGTCAGTGGAGCCGTCAGTCAATCTGAATTAAAGAGGGGGTCACATCTCTATCAAGCCCCTCCCCCTCTAACAAGCCCCTCCCCCTCTGTTTTCAGGACCCAGACTGCTTCCACCTGCTGAGGGGGGCGGGTGATGCCGCTGCAGCAGGTGGGCGGAGCTTGTCCCGTCTGCTGTGGATGCTGAGGAGGACGGTGCTGCCGGCGCATTGGGTGGCTGTTCTGGCTGATGGACCGGAGCTGCAGCTGCTGCAGTGCTCCAAGGTAGGAAGACCAGGAAGCGTCGGGAAAACATCCGAGGAACGTCCGAAAACTGGAATAAAATCTGCACGAAAAGTTTAATTTGAAAAAAACCCAGAAACAATCAAACTTCTAATAAAATTTAAAGGCTTCCTTTAATTTAGTCAGAATTATCCTAGAAATTAAAGCCTGCTGGTCGTTTCCCTAAATAACAAATTTAATTTCTTTATTTTTGAGGTTTGTGTCTTTTAACTTTATAAACTTTTACATTTTTATCTTTAAATCGATCTATTATCACTTTTGAAGATGTCTGGCTGATGAAGCTGCTGTGCTCTGTCCCTGTTGGACACTGAGATCATGTGTCCTGCTGTCCTCTGCGTCCCCCCAGTTGTCCCCCATGGCAGACACCATCGTCCACGTCCAATCAGATCACAGCTTCCACATCAGCGTCCAGACGCAGCTGCTGCCGGACTCACACCGGGTCTACAAGGAGCGCGCCCACAGAATCGCTCACCTGAGCCAGGTAACCGCAGGGGGCGGGGCTAATCCATGGACACCTCCTGAGTTTCACTGCTTTCCTTTTAGGGTCGGTTCCTCCTGGTTCCCTTAGTTCTCAGTCATCCAGGTCATAGTCATTCCGTAAAAGTTTAAAAAACAATCCACTGGACTTGGTTTCCAAGGTTTGAAGACGTTTCGCTTCCCATCCAGGAAATTCAAAATATATATATATATATATATATATTTATATATATATATATATATATATATATATATAAAAACTAACCTAATTTCATGTCCAGGTTTACCTTTTGTCCATAAATCTTGTCCTTCTGAGGCTGTGAAGGTAAATCTGGGTTTTCCATGGTCCAATATTGCGTCACAAACCTAGAAAAATAATGTAGCAGTTTAATAATGGAGAAGATATTAGTCAACTATTTATTTTCTGAGAATGTGTTTATTTAAGAGCAACTATGCAAATGAACAAAAATCTAGAAAAAGTCGACTAGATTCTATTATTTTCCATGTGAATCCCAGATTGTTCATTCT